TTTTTTTTTTGTCCCAGAGCAGCTGGATATGGATCCCTGTTTTCCACAAGTGGCTGGCATCTCAGTCTTTCCAGGTTATTCCACCTGTCTTAGCTTTCCATCCCCACTAATCACCAGAGCACCATTGCAATGTAGGTTTGTTCTCCCAGAGCAGATCTCCAGGGCTGGGTGTTCAGCAGTGCCAGGCCTCCACTCTCTCCCCACTCTGTTTCTCTTCCTCTGGCCAGTGAGCTGGGATGGGGGAAGGGTTCGTTCCTGTTGGGTCATAGCTTTGGTATGTTACCCTGTTTCGTGAGGTCTGCTCTGTTCTCCAGATGTATGCAGTCTGGTGCAGCCTTCTTTCCTGTTGCTCTTTCAGGATTAGTTGTATTAATTATATTTTCATATTATATGTGGTTTTAGGAGGAAGTCTGTCTCACCTCTCACACCGCCATCTTTCTACACTTCTCTTTTTACCTTGACATACGCAAGACTGTAGGGATGCTGTGCTTATGCAGTGAGCCATCTAGAAATGTTCTTGACCTGTCTCATCTGATCTCGTTGTTGAAAGGACTGAGATACCAGCCAGCTATTCATGACCTGTCTCATGAGAGCTCAGCAGCTGGCTGATGACGGTCAAGCACACAGTTCTGGCCTGAGTCCACAATGGAAAGTTGGTATCTTTTGCTTGAGGACTGCTCAGGACAGTGCCCTTTGGAGGGACACCAGCCAGATGTCCAGGCCCATTCAGCTGGTGGACAAGAGCTTCTCTGTTACTTTGTTTGACAAAGCTCATTCCTAACCTGTGGAGCTCAGTGGCCAGGGCACTGTCATGCAGACAGTCCTAGGGAGGGTAGTGGCACCTCAGTGTCGCTTCAAGAATAGGGCTTCATGTCTCTCAGTTGTCTGTGGACTCCCAGCACCCTGGCCTGCCCCCAAACAGTGTGGTCCAGTGTTGCCTCTCGCCTCTTGGCTCTTGGATCTCCAAGACAGCCTCCCCACCTCTGTCCTCTTCTGGCTGTCGTCTCATTTATTTTTAAGTTGTGGTGTGATTTACTTGAGGTATGCATGTACCTGTAAGTGTGCAGCCTGAGGAACTCACACAGATGAATAGGCCCTAGAACCAGAACACAAATCGAGATCTAGAACATTTTATAGTTTTATTTTTACATTTATGCTTAGGCTGGTTTTAGGATAGCATGCAGTGGGGGGTAGGGGCCCAGAGTTCATTTCCCTCAAATGACAAACCAGAAGGGCCCAGCACCTGCCACTCAGAGCCATACCAATAGATTCCTGGGAGCTGCTTTTCTCAGCCTTTTGAGGGGACAGAGTCCCCCGAGAAATCTGACAAAATCCAGTAGACAAACCAGCAGGTGCCAAAAAATTTAGATGAAAAATTGTTTCACAGCTTTCATTTCTTCCTTCTTGCAGGAAATTTGTGTTTTTCAACATACCTCAGATCCAGTACAAAAACCCTTGGGTGCAGATCATGATGTTTAAGAACATGACACCATCACCCTTCCTGCGGTTCTACCTAGGTGAGTGTGGGGCCTCTGCCGGCGTCGACTGCCCTTCCTCCCAGCCCTCTCTACCGCCCAGCAGTCAGGCTGATGTCACATGTGCTCTTGTCACTGCCATTACTTCTGTCACTGTGGCCCCTGGACCAGGAAGCATCACCAAGGCTGCTGGGATCTGGGCCCTTCTTCCCCTGGCCCACCCAGCACCGCCTCCTGTTGCCCCTCACATCCTGCATGCCCACACCACGGACACTGGTTTTGCCAAACCCCCTTGTTGCACCTGTTTTGATGCCTTTGCTCACACTGGCTCCTCTGCCAGAGATCTGCTTCTACTTGTTCTTATTTAAGCACAGTTCTTTTTTTAATTAAAGTATCGTTAATATACAATCTTGTGAAGGTTTCACATGAGCAACATTGTGGTTTCAGTATTCACCTGTATTATCAAGTCGCCCCATACCCCATTGCAGTCACTGTCCATCAGCACAGTGAGATGCTATAGAGTCACTTCTTGTCTTCTCTGTGCTACAGTGTCTTCCCCATGACCCCCCTACATTATGTATGCTGATCATAAGACCCCTTAATCCCCTTCTCCCTCCCTCCCCACCCACCTCCCTTTGGTAACCGCAAATCGCTTCTTTGAGTCTGAGTCTGTTGCTGTTTTGTTCCTTCAGTTTTGCTTTGTTGTTATACTCCACAAGTGAGTGAAATCATTTGGTACTTTCTTTCTCCTCCTGGCTTATTTCACTGAGCATAATATCCTCTAGCTCCGTCCATTTTGTTGCAAATGTTAGGATTTGCCGCCTTTTTATGGCTGAATAATACTCCATTGTGTATATGTACCACATCTTCTTTACCCAATCATCTGCTGGACACTAAGGTTGCTTCTGTTCTGTATCTTGGATATTGTAAATATTGCTGTGATAAACATAGGGGTGCATATGTCTTTTTAAATCAGGGATCTTGTTTTCTTCCAATAAATTCCTAGGAGTGGAATTCCTGGGTCAAATGGTATTTCTATTTTTAGTTTTTTGAGGAACATCCATATTGCTTTCCACAACAGTGGAATTAATTTACATTCCCACCAGCAGTGTAGGAGGGTTCCCCTTTCTCCGCATCCTCACCAGCATTTGTTGTTCCTTGTCTTCTGGATAGTGGCTGTTCTCTATCACATTGTGGTTTTAATTTGCAATTCCCTGATAATTAGCAATGTGGAGCATCTTTTCATGTGCCTATTGGCCATCTGAATTTCCTCTTTGGAGAAGTGTGTCTTCATATCCTCCGCCCATTTTTTTAACTGAGTTATTTGGTTTTTGGTTGTTGAGGCGTCTAAGTTCTTTATATATTTTGGATGTTAACCCCTTATCGGATATGTCATTTACGAATATATTCTCCCATTCTGTAGGATGCCTTTTGTTTTTCTGATGGTTTCCTTTGCTGTACAATAGCTTTTTAGTTTGATGTAGTCCCATTTATTCATTTTTGCTTTTGTTTTCCTTGCCCGAGGAGATGTGTTCAGGAAAAATTGCTCATGTTTATATTCAAGAGATTTTTGCCTATGTTTTCTTCTAAGAGTTTTATGGCTTCATGACTTACATTCAGGTCTTAGTTCACTGAAGAATGCTGTTGGTATTTTGATAGGGATTGCATTTAATCTGTAGATTGCTTTAGGCAGGATGGTCATTTTGACAATAGTAATTCTTCCTATCCATGAGCATGGGATGTATTTCCATTTATTGGTGTCTTCTTTAATATCTCTCATGAGTGTCTTGTAGTTTTCAGGGTATAGGTCTTTCACTTCCTAGGTATTTTATTCTTTTTCATGCATTTGTAAACAGAGTTGTTTTCCTGATTTCTCTTTTTGCTAATTCATTGTTAGTATATTAGAATGCAACAGATTTCAGTAAAAGTCCATTATATCTCAGCTTGGGCACCACTGCTCCCCAGAGGCTCTCCTGCACCCTTAGATTGGGCCCCTGCCCCTCTGTCCCAAAGCCACTCCCTCTCAGTGTGGCCACACTCTCGTGACCAGTGCACGGGTGTAGTGTATTTGCAGAAAGTGCTTAGGGAACAGTGTTAAGTGAGGCTTGTGCTTGGACGTCAGGAGCATGTGTTTGGCCAAGCTGTTGCGCAGCCCTCCTGCCCTGAGCACGTCAAGTTCCGTTTGCTTTATTTCCCAGGTGTAGGCAAACATTTGCCTCACACAGTTCCGAGAACCCAGTGTAGTGTAGGTTGGGGGATGCCTCAGGGGACAGCGTGATGATGCTCTGAATTCATTCAGTCAGTGTGTGGATTCCCTGCCAGGAGCCAGGTGCCAGTCTAGGCGCTCAGGGTCAGAGAGCCACACAGAGATCTCTGCCTGGCAGAGAAGATGTTCCAGCAGGAGGAGGCAGGTGGACACAAAGCTGCATTAGAGTAGTGGAAGAGCAGAGCTGTGAAAAGTGGAGCACGGTCAGGGGCTGGAGGGAAAAGAGGTGGTATGGCAGTAGTGTTCTGTGTTTGTGTTTAAAGAAACTACCGCAGTGCAGAGCACCCATGCTGAAGTGCACAGGTCTCTCGTGCATAGATTGACAAGTCCTGACAGTCATTGCAGACCTGTGTCACGATGTTCCCAGTGAGGAAACAACATTCCTGTTACTCCAGAAAGTCCCTCATGCTGCTTTCCAGTTAATTCTCCTTCCATGAGAGGCCACCACTGGTAGGGTTTTTTCACCACAGATTAGTTTTGTGTTTCAGAACTCCATACATATAGAATTGCACAGTACATTCCTGTCTGTTGGGCTCTTACTCACCACATCCCTGATGAGTATGTGGCCATGTGTGTGCACCAGTGTGTGCGTGTTCTCTGCTGAGCAGCATTGCACTGGAGGAATATACCACAGTTTCTGTATCCAGTCTGTGCCTTGTTGATAATCTTTTGGGTTTGATGGGATGCCAAGACAGACATGTAACTCTGAGCCTTACTGGAGATGAAAGAGGGGTGGGTGGAACAGGGAAGGTGTGCTGATGACAGAGTGGGCCTGCTGCCCATGGAAGGAGCTGGGGAGGGAGGCGGTTGTGGTAGCAGGGTCCCAGGCCTGGGACAGGGTGAGCCTAGGCTTAGCTCTGGTGCCGCCCAGGATCCCAAAGACACTGTGGCTGGGCCTCTGTGGCTGGGCCTCTGTGGCCGTCAGGGGTTGCTTCTGCCTTGGGCTATTAAGGTGAGATGCATGGCAGTAGCTTCTTGCGCAAGTAGTCTGTGTGGACATAGGCACTTGGTTCTCCAGGGAAGTGGCCTCAGGATGGGATTGCTGTGTAGAAAAGGTATGTAATGTTTTAGGAACAAAATGGTTGTGCACTTCGCCCTCCAGTCAGCAGGGTGTGAGGCCTGCAGGCTGGGCATCCTCATCCAAACTGGCAGTGGGGTCTTGCATTCATTTCCTGCAATTGCTGTAACAAATTACCACAAACTTGGTGGCTTCAAACACGGATTTCTTATCTTATAGGTCTGGAGGGTAGACGTCCAACATGGATGAAAATCAGGTGTTAGCACACCTTGCACTCTGGGGCAGATCATTTCTGCTCGCCATCCAGCTCCTAGAGGCTATGCACATTCCTTGGCTTGTGGCTCCATTTGCTGTCTGCCTGCTCTTCCCTAGGCATGTCCCTGTGGCCACTGCCTGGGCAGGCCCTCCCACGTGCAGGACTGTGGACTAACTTGGGCCTGCTGTGTATCCGGGGGCACCCCGCACCTCCAGGCCCTTGGCTTTTATCACATCCACAGAGCCCTTTAGGCCATGGACGGTGACATATCCATAGGTTTTGGGGGATTAGGACTGGGACATCTTTGGGGGCCGTTATGCAGCTCATCACATTGAATGTTGAATTGTAGCCATTCCAGTAGGCACTGAAGTTTTAATTTGCGTTTCCCATGAGTATCTTCATGTGGTTTTTGGCCATTCATATATTTCTTTTGTAAAAGAGTCTATTTGAATTTGTTGCTCCATTTGTTTTGTGCCCATCTTGGCCTGTCAATGAGCAGTTTCATGGCTGGACCAGCCCTTATAGTTCTTACTATGATTACAAGATGACGGTCAGCAGCAACCATTACAAAACTTTGATGGGAATAAAAAACACTCATTCCTCACAGCGCCTGGAGTGCACATGGCCCGCCTGGGGCCGCACAGCGAGGTCTTGGGCTGGAGTGCACTTGCCAGTGGGGATCTGCTTTACTGGGCCGAGCATGGGGGCCCAGGGCTTCACAGGCTCACTCTGTGAGCAAGTGTGAAACACAGGAGCAGAGAATTTCAAGTGCAGGAAGAGGAGACACGTGGCCCAGATGGTCAGTATTGACATCAAGATCTAAACTAAGGAGCCTCGCCATGGGGAGGTAGTCGCAGTGGCCACGGTGTGTTCGTTTGCGTTTTGAAGAGGGCGCCTGAGCCATCAAAGGTGGAGCCAAGCACTTGGACTCCAAAAACGAGCAAAGGCCTACTGGCAGGGTCATGCTACACCAGTACATACAATTGGGCTGTTTTCTTACTGAACTTAATATATTCTGGAGGCAAGTCTTTTCCTCAGATATGTGTACTGTGAATTTTTTCTTGGTCAGTGGCATTTCATTTTCTTAATGGACTCGTTTTGAGGAGCAAAATTTTAATTTTGATGAACTCCAGTTTATCATTTGTTTCCTTTGACATTTAGAAATCTCTACCTGCCCCAAGGTTGCAGAGATTTTCTCTCATGTTTTCTATAAAGCATTAGTTTTAGATTTTATGTTTAGGTCTGTGGTCTAGTTTGAGCTATTTGTGTATTAAGTGAGACAGAGACTGAGGCTCATTTTTGGTTTTTAGATTCGGGCTATTCAGTTGTTAGAGCACTGTTTGCTGAGAGACTGTCTTTTCCTTATTAAATTTCTTTGACATCTTTGTCAAAAATGAGTCAACCATGAATGGATAAACAAAATGCAGTGCCCACTGCTCCACCACGAGGAACCGTAAGCACTGATATGGGCTACAGCACGGACGGGCCTTGAGAGCGTGAAGCCGAGGAGAGGAGGCTGGCCCTGCAGGCTGTCTGTCGTGTAATGCTGTTTACAGGCAGGCCCAGAGGGGGCTGGGATGGGGTGCTGTGGGGAACAGGAAGGCACTGTTCAATGATTTCTGTGTGGGGTGATGAGAAAGTTCTGGAATGGGATAGTGGTAATGGTTGTACAGCGCTGTGAATGTGCTAAAACCACCAAATTATACACTTTACATGGTTAAGATGGTGAATTTTATGTTATATGTATTCTGCCACACGCACAAGATGACTTGACCATGTATTTCTGCACTTCATCCTCCACTGATCTGCGTCTGTCCTTATGCTAATACTGCATTGTCTTGGTTTTTGTGGCTTTATAAGTCTTAAGATGAGGTAGTATAAATCTAACTTTGTTCTCTTTGTTTTTCCAAAATTACTTTGGCTGTTGTAGGTTTTTGCGTTTGCATATTAACTTTGTCATTTTACCCCTTCACTTATTTCAGGTATCTCAACCCCTTCCTCATGGTAACCACCAGTCACTGCTCAGTGTTTATGAGTCTGTTTCTGTTTTGTTCATTTGTTTTGTTTATATTCCACATATAAGTGAGATCATATAGTATTTGTCTTTCTCCACCTGGCTTATTTCACATAAATACCCCCTAGGTCAGTCTGTGTTGTTGAAATGGCAAGATTTCTTTTTTATGGCTAATATTCCATTGTATTATGTACCACATCTTTGTCCATTCCGTCTATTGATGGGCACCTTGGTTGCTTCCACAACTTGGCTGTTGTATGTAATGCAGTGATAAACATAGGGGTGCGTGTGTCTTTTTGAATCAGGGATTTTGTTTTCTTTGGGTAACTTTGTAAAAGTGGAGTTACTGGATCATATGGTGTTTCTAATTTTAGTGTTTTAAGGAACCTCCGTACTGCTTTCCACAGTGGCTGCACAATTGACAGTCCCACCAACAGTGTAGGAGGGTTCCTGTTTCTCCACATCCTCACCAACACTTGTTATTTCTTGTCTTTTTGATAGCAGCCATTCTGCCTGGTGTGAGGTGGTACCTTACTGTGGTTTTGATTTGCATTTCCCTGATGACTAGCAATGTGGAGCATCTTTTTATCTGTGTTGACCATCTGTATGTCATCTTTGGAAAAATGTCTCTGTTCAGGTCCTCTGCCCATTTTTTAATTGGGTTATTTGTTTTCTTTCATGTTGAGTGTGTGAGGAGCTCTTTACATATTTTGGATATTAGCTCTGTAGTAGATGTCTTGTTTGCAAATATATTCTCCCATACTATAGGTTGTCTTTTCGTTTCTTGATAGAGTCCTTTGCTGTACAGAAGCTTTCTATGTAGTCCCACTTGTTTATTTTTGCTTTTGTTTCCCTTACCTAGGGAGATGTATCCAGAAAAAAATTGCTCATGACAATTTTCAAGGTTCTTGTTTTCTTTTCCTTTGTTGTATTCCATTGGGTTTTTATTTTGGGTGTAAAATTTGAAAAGAGGAAATACTAAGCTATGTTGTTAAAGATCAGACAGGTGATAGAAAAAAAAAGGCCATGAGGTTCTTTTTCAACCTTTTCTGTATATTATTTTTAACAGGAAAAATGTCTAAAGTAAGGCAAGAAATATGGAAGGCAGGTAAGGAACATTCTCCTGTGTGTTCTCATTTTGACTCTGGTTTTGCTACCTTAGGTGAAACCACCACCAGCCCCAGTCTTGAAGGAGTGGCCTGTGAAGATGCCATGGATTGTCCAAGCCGCCTGTTAAGGAGTTTTTACAGCTCCCAGTACTTGAGGGTGTGTGGTGCCCTGTCAGTCTCCCGAAGGGGAGGACCTCTGGTAGTATCCAGACTTTCAGTCAGGGTGGTTGGAAGACAGATTCCCAGGCAGCAGCTTTCACAGTACATACATAGAAACAGTCCCACGGAACCACAGTGTAAGCCTGGTGGCCACCGGTCTTTCTAGGTGACACCAGCAAGCTGGGGCGAAGCAGAGGGAGAGTGCAGTGGCCTCCACCCACCGACATTCCCAGCATTGCAGGATCCTCCGGGCATGCTGGGCCTGAAGCCTGCGCCTCAGGCTGAGGCTCAGGACCAGCACGTGGGCCGCTCTCACAGAGTGGGGGGTGTTTCAGCCCACTGTCTGCAGTGCCCTGGGGCGGCCACCTGCCAGGAACTTTCTCTCTCATTGGTAGAACCTGGTGATATCCAGGAACCCAAGCCCTCTGCCCACCAGGGCCAGGCGATCAAGGAGAGCCCCCCACCCTGGGCAGCAGCCACAAACACTAATGCAAAAATGGCACCTGCTGGCTGTTGGGAGGCAAAGAGGGCATGAAGGTGGGGCTGGTGGGGGTGGCTTACAGTTTTAAAAAAATGGCACTTGCTGGAGGGAGTGGATAAGCTACCTATTGGTCAGCATTCCCAGCTCAGTATTAAATTAGATGCTTGCCTCTCAGGCCAATACTTTGATATAAGCAAATGAGCCTCCTTCACTTAAAGTCCCCCCATCAGCTGCCTCCAAGCTGCCCTCAGGGCTGGCCGCCTAGGTCTCCTGGGCAGGAGCCCTGTTGGCTCAGTTTAGAAGTGTTACCTTGTGTTTCCGTGAGTCTGTCCGATCCTCGAAGAAAGAATTCAGCAGACCGGAAAGCAAGAAAAAGCAGAGGAATTTATTGGGTTAAAGGGAAAAGTACACGGAGACAGAAGAGCAAACTGTCTAGAAACCAGCAGCTGCCGCCTATGTTTCATGAGTTGTTTTATTAAGGCTTCATGTCTTATATTTATAGATGTTTAGTCCACTTAAGATTGTTTTATGTGTCATGTAATACAGTGGCTCAGTTTCATTGCCTTGCTTGTGGCTTTCTTTTCCCAGCACCAGTTATTGCAGAGACTCCCTCACTGCATATGCTCAGCTTTGTTCTTTCTTAGGATGGCTTTGACTATTCGGGCTTCTTTGTGGTTCCTTGTAAATTTTAGGATTATCTGCTCTAGTTCATTGAAAATTCCATTGGTATTTTGTTGAGGATTGCATTGAATCTGTAAATTGCAAACTGTAAATAGCCGCTTTTTTTGGGTCAAATATTTGTTGAAATATTTTGTGTTTTTTAGTTGGAATGTGTGTTAATGAGTTGTGAGAGTTCTTTATGTAGTTGGGATACAAGACCTCTCAGATACATGCATCATCATTTGGTGTCTTGGAGCATAAAAACAATGTTGATGGATTTTTTTAAATTTGTCTTTCATGGATATTTTTTATATGACTTCTAAAAATCTTTGCCTAGGTAAACTTACGAAGATTTTCTATGTTCTCACCTAAAAGTTTTAGCTCTTACATTTAGGTCTCTGATCCACTTTGAAGTTTTTTTTTTTTAATGTTGCAAGTTCAGGGTCTAAACTCATTTGCATGTGTGTGTCCGCTTGTTCCAGCACCATTTGTTGTAGACTGTTTTTCCCCCATTGAATTGTCTTGGAATCTTTGCTGAAAATCAGTTGACCGTAAGTATGAGAGTTTATTTCTGGACTCAGTTCTGTTCCATTACACTTTTGTCTTTTCTTATGCCAGTACCACCTGGTCTTCGTTACTGTCAATTATAGTAAATTTGAAATTGGAAAGTGAACACCCTTGCATTTTCTTGCTTTCTAAAATTTTTTGTGGTTGTTTTGGGTCCTTTGCATGAATATTAGGCACAGCTGGCAGTTTTTACAAAAACACCTAGGATTTTGATAGGGATTGCATTGAACCCATACACCAGTTTGGGGGAGAATTGGTATCTTTAACAACATTGACTCTATCCATGAACATGGAATTTCTTTCTAATAAAATAGTATGTTTTGTACTTACGTAAAACTTGTCTGCTCATGTTTGAAGAAATATGGAAAAAGGAAGGGTAACATTATGAATTATGTAGACAGACATATTTATCATTAAAACGTTTCTCCACTAAAAGCAAATCCCAAATCACTACCATTTGAGGCTGAGGAGTGCACTGAGAAGTGCAAATTCTTAGCTTTTCTTCTCTCTTTTGCTTCCTGTTTCCAGATTCTGGGGAGCAGGTTCTTGTGGATGTGGAGACCAAGAGCAATAAGGAGATTATGGAGCACATCAAAAAAATCTTGGGGAAGAATGAGTGAGTTGCTGGGTTGACCAGGAGGGGAGCATATGTCTTAGCCTAGAGATTCTGAGAGCGGAAAGGAGTGTGTTGGGGGGGGTTCGGGAGGATAGGCCCTCTGACGTGGGCCTCAGACACTGACTGGAACGCAGGAGCTGCCGAGCCCTTTCCATTTGCCTGGCTGCTCACCAGGCATGTGACCGTCACTGAGCCTTTCTGAGTCTAACCCCCTCTGCTGTGACGTGGGGATAAAGATGGTCGGTCCCTCCCTTCTGGTTCTTGGGAAGCTGAGGTGCTGCCCAGAAGCCTGCCTAGCAGCTGTGACCACTTCTGTCCTTGGGAATCCCAGCTTGGCGCCAGTGGGTTTCTAGCCCCAGGACCTGCTATGCTGTCTTTTTCGATACATGAAGGAAGGAGTGGGGAGATGCCAAGGAAGGCTGTCTTGGGGGAAACACACAGAGGCATGTCTAGGCTCCTTGTCCTGACTGTTGAGTCAGAGCTGGAACCACCTCTTGGCTGAGTGCCTCCCAGGTGACTGTCTACTGTGGGGCCTGGGGCTGCATACCAGCAGAGGGCCTCTGCCCTCTCTGCTCCCTCCTCCGGGAGCCTGTGGGGAGGGGGGAATAGGCCTGGGGAGTGAGGAGCAGGTTAGGAGGCCCAGGAGGCCCCCATCTCCCTGGTTGATGGTGAGGTTCCTGGAGGCTCAGAATGGTGGTGTCCATACCTCGTTGCTGTCTGTCCTCTTTGCCAGGAAAACTCTCAAGGAGGAGGAGGAAGAGAAAAAAGAGCTTTCTCACCCAGCCCACTTTGGGCCCCGGAAGTACTGCCTGCGGGAGTGCATCTGTGAGGTGGAAGGGCAGGTACCCTGCCCGCGCCTGGTGCCATTGCCCAAGGAGATGACGGGGAAGTACAAGACAGCGCTGAAAGCTGGTGCTCAGGACTAGGCTCCCGGCCATGTGCAGGGAAGCCTCTGGGTGTCCTTGGAGACTCAGAAATCTTTTTGCAGAAAATGGGTCCCCTGCACACACCCATGTAAAGGATGGGGCAGGGTGGCAGGGGGCGGGATGGAATCTCTGCAGTTGAGTTGTTCAACCTCTTGGTTCCATTGGGCCAATAAAGTGCTGTTTATTTTCCAGGAGCGTGGTGGGCGTAGATCTGGTGGGCATGGGGCATGGTGGCAGGGGGCGGGATGTAATCTCTGCAGTTGAGTTGTTCAACCTCTTGGCTCCATTGGGCCAATAAAGTGCTGTTTGTTTTCCAGGAGCGTGGTGGGTGTAGATCTGGTGGGCATGGTAGGAGGGCCTGTGTGGGGAGAGGCCTTTGAGATGGGGAAACATAGGCCACAGCCTGTTCACACCCCCGTCTCAGCCTTTCCCTGGTTTCCACTGGCTCTCCACCTGGACCCGGGTTGGGTCCAGCTGCAGCCATCTTGGCTGGCAGTGTGGACACCCCCTCCTTTTGGATTCTTAGGTGAGCCTTTGTGTGGCGCTCACCTTTTCCCCTCCAGCCAGACAATTCCTTCCTCCTGAGGCCAGGGATGAGGAGGCCTGGCCAGCTCCATGCCTGGCAGCAGTCGGTTCACAGGCCAAGAGGAGGCAGGAAAAGGCATTGCCTGGCCGGGAGAGGCCCGGGGCTGGGCTGGCAGCCTATCACTTGCCCTGCTGCCCGGTTGGGCCTTGCCGACTCGGGTTGGGGTCAAGGGGCTGCTGAAGGGCTGTGTGTTAGTTCCTTCCTCACAGGACAGTGACACTGCTGTCACTTCAGTTACTCAGGAGACAGCAGAGCTGTCTAGGGTCATATCAAGAATAGGTTTGCTTGGTGGAAAGTGAAGGACCAGTGGGAGCACAGGCCCATGGCAGCGGGACAAGGAGACTGGCCTGCGGGATGTAGCCGAACAGTGGGGCTCAGAGCAGGGGGAGGGGGCCTGAGCTCTGCTGGCTGGAGCCGTGGCTGGGCTGTCTGTGAAATGGGAATAGAAGTGGTATCTGCCTCTGATGAGTTAGCCATGGAAAGTGATGTGCAGCCGGGATGTTTTACATAGATGTTGGGGATGATCCCATAAATTGGGAGAAATGTGCTCAGGGTCCAGCTTACTGTGATTTCGCACCTGACCTGTGTTCAGGGAATGATGTGTGTAATAGGCAGGCATTCTCTGACTCACAGCAGGCTCACTGGGGTTGTCTGATAGCAGTCAGCACTGGGGCGCCTCTCCCTATCCCCATATTGGTAGAGAAAGCAAGCCTCCATTCCTGTCTGTCCTGTGGGTGCTGGTTCTGGCTCCTGCAGGGAGCTCTCTTAACCCAGCCAGCTGCTGGGCTTCCAGGAAGTACCCCTGCCCTCCATGGCCCACGGGGACCAACAGAGGTTGCTAACCAGGAGGCTCACCCTGAACCAAGATAGGGACCCTCTCCAGCCTGCCGGTGCCTGATGGCGTGTTTGCATGGACTGGTCCACAGGCAGCGGGGACAATTCACCAAAACAACCACTAGGGGCTTTACCTTTTAAACCTTTGTCTTCCATTTCCTATTTTTTACCTAGTGATTAAAGATGGGTTTAAAATGTACAGAAATGGGAGAAAATTAGTAGAGAAGACTGCTGTGAGGGCTTTGTAACTGACACTGACTCTTAATTATTTGCACTAGTGGTTGTCAGATGGTTTTTGAGAACAAGGTCTTCCGGAGTGACTGCTTTTATTTTAATTTTGAGACCCTGGTAGAGCCGTTCTACCTGTTTGGCTGCCAGTGGCTTCTCCAAGAATCTGATTTGGGATGTCAGAATCCTTGCCTGTAAGATAAGCTCAGAGGACATAACAAGCAGGTGCTTTCTAATTTCTGAACTTTAGGAACATATTTTACCCTGGAGAGCAGATGTCCTTACAGCCCAGCCACCTGTGTGGCTCCAACTTCACACCAAGGAGCAACCCAGTTGGAAAAGGCCCGGCTGCCCCCTAAGTAAGTTATTTCCTGTCCTGTGGACCATCTCATGGGCCCCAAGGGTGAAGTCACTTTGAGGTGAGGTGGGAGTGCATTAATGTCACAGCTATAAGGAGAAATGAGCAGGCTGCACATTAGTCTTTAATTTACTTTAATAGTATAAACCTCATTTAGGTAGTATTAAGCCACAACAATAATGCCACATTGAAACAGCATTTAATAAAATGCATAAAGCTAATTCATGCACTGCAATACTCTATATACAAACACAACAATGCAAATTCTTCTTCAAGACTGAAGACATTGATTAGATATAAAATTCAGTTTAAAAAGAACATGCTGTTTTTTAAATGCCTTCACAAAGCTGATTTCAAGCAACAGCTTCGACAGGTTTTAAACCTGGAATTACAATGTAATGGCATAAACTATTTTCTGTATTGTGAATGGCAGAGGTTACATGAACGGTCCCAAGAAAATCTAACACCCGAGTTTTCCTTTAACAGATGTAATGCAGCTACATTGAACAGAGAGGTCCAAACTACAGGTAAAAACTATGGTTTGTACTATGAAAAAGGTGCAGCTTTTCAGTTATAAAACTAGTTGAACACTGGTTTACAAGGTAATTGGGAGAACAGAGACTGTAGAAAAATATTCCAGCACTTGAGTTGTATGTGGCAGCAGCATCTGAGTGCGTGAGTGCTCTGGTCGTTAAAATGACCAACTGGACTTCCCTAGAGAAAAGCCATTCCTCATGTAAAGTCTGCTACTTCCAAATGTTACCAAAGAGTAAGCTTTAATTTTTCACAGCATGTTAGTTGCTGAGGAGTGTCGCCGAGCATTTTGTCTACGCTGTATGTGTAGAGACGCCACAGTTACTGGCTTCTCAATTCCAGGATGGCTGTGCATTAAAAATGCCTGACATCCCTACCCCCAAGATCCTTTCTCTTAAGCTCACCGTTAATTATTCTCAAGATTGCTGTTAGGATAGAGAGCCACAAAGGGAGACTTTTTTAAAAGTTCATTTGGAGACTGGACAGCTTCCACTTGTATTTTACTAGAAGCCACCTTCCATAGTGTGATTGTCACGACAGGCAAGTATGGGGGCAAAGTCAGTCACTGTCAGGTGAGGCCAGCGAAGCAGCAGGAGTTTTACCTTAAAATGCGGGGAAGCTGGAGGCCAAATGGCCCTCATCTCACAAAAGGCACTGAGTACTGTGGTCTCAATGAAGTGTTCTCAAACATTGCAATAGCTTATTAGAAAGAAAAAGCAACCTGTGGCTTGTGAGCTTACAGTTATCCAGTGATGGCTTCCAGCCTCCCCGCCAGTCGCTGCGGGCAGCTACAGTGGGGCCTTGGCTCCGGAGTACCCTCAGTTTAAAGGTTGATTAAGGGGAAGGTTAATCAGAATGGACCTGGACAAGGGAAAATTGGCATTTGTAGCTTTAAGGGCACACATAATTTTAAAATTTCAGATAAAAATGGCATTTTAGTATAGATAGTTTAGTCAGTGGGTTTTATTTGCATGCTATCGTTACAGAAATCACTTAAGACTTGTAACTTACATGCCAGAAAAGTCATCAACATTCATGCTTATTTTCAAAGATTACTTGGTAGGTTTTTTTTTCTGAGTGGCACTGGGGAGACAGGACTCTGTAGCCGCAGGGCAGCACCATGGTGTGCCAACTCGCTGTGTCCTGCAGGTGAATGTCTGGGAAGCCGGTGGTTCCACCTCCCACTGTCCTTCCAGGCACACAAGAGGTGTGAGACAAGCAGGCTTAAGGCGCCTGCCTAGTTCTGGACATCAGGACAAACTGTCTTCCAGCTTCCTGGCCCTTGCCTGAACCTAGAGGATGTAGAGCAGTGTCATCCTCTCAGGACCCTTCTGTCCACCATGTCCCTGGTGGGGCATGGAGATTCTGGCTTCCTGGGCTTTCCCAGCCAGGTTCCACCCCAAGGAGAATGGCATTCAGAAAATCTCAGCAAACCCATCCTGCTGAGGGACCTGGGAACCCACATCGACTTACTCCAGGAGCTCTGAGAGACTCTGTAATGTGAGGGACTGTGAAGACATGGCTACACTTCTGTACACATCATATACACCTATGTACATGCTATATACACTGTACAGATAGAGGAGATATAAACACAGGTACATTCATTCAGTCTTAGAAGCCCATAAACCTGGACACGCACAATGCCATTGAAGGGACCAGGGCTGGACACGCAGAAGTGCGTGCTGGTGGGAAGCACACATGGGGAGGTCCAGAACCCTGGAGAAGAGCTGCGTGATCTCGAGAATGGAAGTGGGACGAAGAAAGCATGTGGGCAGGTTAGACCTTGTCAGGACCTAACAGCGGTGCCCTCCTAGCATAGCAGCCTCAGGAGAGTTCCCTGCCCAGAGGGTGTTTCCCCTGGAAAGTGCTTAGGAAGCTTCTGGACTCTAGTCTGATCAGGTCCTGGCACTTGGATCCACAGCCAAGGGCCGCTTGTCAGGAAAGGGCAAGGCTCTGGTGCTGGAAAGTACCCCAAAGGATTACAGTGTGTTTTCTCCCCAGAATAAAATAACTACATAGAGCTAGAGCTCTACTAATTCTTGGCTCTCTGCCGTGGCGAACCCCCAAAGCGAGTGAACAGCTAAGTGTACAGTGTGGCCACACTCTGTGAGGGCAGTTGGCCTCCAGCCAGGAGCCCCAGAGCAGACGTGGCTTCAACTGCTCTGCCTCAGAACAGTACACGTTTAATACTGACACTGACAAGCTCCCCAACAAGCCCTTGAGGGCAGTTACGTAACACAACTTAGAAGTGAGCACATGGGAAGTATAGGAGCCAAACCACCAGTGAGCCACCGCCTCAAGCCAGACAAAGTAACCCTGACACACACACACACACCCCCCTCTCAAATTAGAAGGGTGGTAACATACTGCCTTCAACAGACTCTCCATGAATAACTATTTGCTGGAGTAATTTGGTCATTTTCTAAGTCTCTTCCCATCTCATTACATATAATAAGCTCCGTAAGTTTCAACACAACTGACTGGCGTTGCCCAAGAAAGTGCTGGGAAGAGCTGGCTGCGTTGGAGCAGCAGTGCACCTGTCCCTCAGGCCACTGGCTCAGTACCCCCGGGGAGTCAGAGGGCAGAGGGCTATGTCACTTCTCTACATCTAATTTCACAACCTGGCAACAAAGGTTAAAGGCTTTAAATTGTTGGCTTTGGGCTTACTTCTCAATCAGCTTGCAAGGTGGAACGGACATGCCATCAAAGGCTTGAAATGATGTGTAGCAGGGAATGCAGGTTGTGTGGATATGATCCTTAAGGAGAGGCTGCTTCTAGAGTAAGGCCAAGGGGATCGGGGAACTGATGAGGAGTGTTCAAAACCCAGAGTGGCCCAAGGGATCTGCCATCGCCAGCAAAGGAACAAGGTAAAGCGTAGGACCGGCTGTTATCAGCAACTCTCCAAGCAAAAGAAGGTTGCTAGGGCTCCCTGTTTTTGTCCAAATGTTCCCTCCTCACCTTTTGCCTGTTACCTTCTCTTCCCAGCATCTCTAAATGGTGGCATTGTCAGGACTTCAGTCTAGGTCTTGGCTAAGCTGTCCAGTATCTTGGGCACCCTGAGCCTACAGCCTAGCTAATTGACATGGCAGTAGTAGGGCCTGGCCCCTGGCAGTGACGGGAGAGGGCCGGCACGGACCTCCCACCATCCCGGAAAGCAGACCTGAAGGAGGAGGCACACCTATTCCCAGGGAAATGCTACCCGATCAACAGACTAATGCTTACCTTCAAAAATCAAAGAACAGAAAAACAGGCAACTAAGATGCATGAACGTGCTTTAAAATGCCCTCTACAAAATCCTTCACAAGCAGAAACAGACCTGCCTTAAATCCAGTATCTTGGCCAGTTCTGTCTTTAAATCACTTCAAAGTTAGAAAACCAAAAACTTCAGCTGACAAAATTAAATCCTTTCCATCATTTTATAATGGGCATCCTCATTATTTTCCAGAATTTCTTTCCAAGCCATGAACTACAAATAAATCCAAACAGGAATTTAGAACAGGAATTTAGAAGTCAGAGATACTCTCCCTGCTTAATCCTGTTAATGACCTTCATCAAGTGCTGCCAGCACTTCAGAATAAAGCAGCCTGTTTGCCATAAGCCTGTGGCCAGGTAGCCAGGCTACCACCACAGCATGCGAGGCACCACCTTGACTGAAGGCCCAAGCCAGACAAGGGAGCATCCACGAGGCAGGGGTATCATTTGATCAAAGGGCCAAGCCTGCAAATTCAGCCTTACATTGTGTTTCCTTAGTCTGAACTATGCAAAAAGATACGAAGTACCTGACTATGACCCGTCTTGGACATGTCACCCGAACAGGAAATCACATCCAAAGGAATTTATGGGCACGCTTAAGATATAACCACATTCTGTTCTGGTAAGTGATGGTTGCTATAACTTATGAGGAGAAAGAGGATAACTTTGGGAATTAAAGGTTGTTTTTTAAGGAGCAGGCAGCCTGCTTCTGCATCTGTCACCTAAAACACTCCAGAGGTGGTCTGCTGTCACACACCAGGGGGTGTCAAAGTGCACTGTGTCAGGACAATGGAAAAACTTGCAGCCGAGCTGCTCAGTCTGGAGACATTTAAGGTCAACAGAGAAACCTTCCATTCAGCTTCATCAACACAGCCCTGGCCAGGCAGCAGGATTCTGCACACCCCGAACAGGCTCATAGTTCTGACCAAACTGCAGAAACAAGCCCTTGTCAAAGGGGCGTCAGGAATGGAAACGCCTGAGAAGGGAACCCCCGCACTCTAAGGAGGCCACACGCCACCTGCACAGCATGCAACTACCCCAGACTACTCAGGAATTAGTGTCGGGTTCAAATGTCCACCTTGCACTTTCTGGTTGCAAGGCTCTGTCTGCTGTGAATGGTGGAGGCGATGGGGATGTCTGCAGCTGCTGCAGGGATTGCTCTGAGAGCTCGACCTCAGGAGAGAGCCCCGGTTTGGAGGCTTCTGGTCTGGGCCACCACCGGCAGCTACCACCCTCCATCGACTTGTGAGACAGATAAGCTGCATTCGTTCACAGGAATCTAGTTCATCACCTCCAGTGCATGCACACACTTAAGAATGGTGCCTTCTTTACACAAATGATTGTCTCCTGTACCCTATTGAGTTTTCACAAAAATTATTAGCATTTCAGCAAAAGACATATACAGTTTTCCATTTGCCCTGCCCACAGGCAAGATGTTGCAACAATACACATCGATAAGTGCTTAGAAAGTGCTAATATTATTACCCTGGTAATTAGTAACTATTAATTCCAAGGACATTTTTTATATACATACAGATACTGTTCTTTTAAGTTTAGTTTTCTTTAATACTAATCTCCATTATAAAACTTTGTTTTTTGCCCTTTGAGAATTTCTAAATACAAATTGAGTTAAAAGATTGTTTCAAAATCTGCTTCATCAAAAGGCATTATAACATTTCTTATGGCAGGAAAGGATCCTACTAGTCTTAGTTGCTGTGTCTGGGATTAACAGTTAAGAAGAAACTGGTAAGTAGATGGCTAGCATACCCGAGACCTTTGCACATACCACAGTGCCCTCTGTCCTGTCTGTGAGCAGGCCGGGAAGGGTCCTTGGGCTTTTGGGCCACCGAGGGGTGCACACTATAGACTGGCCCCAGTGATCTGGCCGTTATACTCTGCCGTCTCCATCTTGAGGATGTAGGGGATTATGCTGTCTATTGAAACATTGCCAATGAGACCAGTAAAAAAAAGTTCTTCTGTGATGTTGGAGCTCATCAGCCTGAGTGCCGGCAGGCGGACGAGAATCCGGGCTAATCTGTAAGAAGCAGGGTCATTAGAGAAAGGAGGTCAGCCACCCTCAGACATCACCCCGGACAGGCCCCCAGGGCCCCGCCTGCACCGCCACGGACTCAACCAAGCAAATGGGTCCTCCTCTGATTTCAATGGTTCCTCTGACAGGAATTTACCAGGAGAAAAAAATAGAAGGAGTGAATGGCAAGATGTACATACAGGTATGTTCCCTTCATTTTTTACAATGACTCTGGTGGGTGTGGGAAAAGAAAAACTTGTAAATCTATCACAGAGGATAGGCTAAAAATACAGCCTGGTGTGTCTCCATATAACAGATCACCACATAGTAAAGATCTACATACTGAGTAAAAACTTAAGATTGTGAAGCAGCAGGTATAGCACTGTCTCATTTGTGTGTGTTTATTCGTGTTCACATGTAAAGGATTAGAAGAATGTTCACCAGAACCTCTGGGTATTGGGATTGGGAGTTTACCTATTAAAACCTGTTCAGTACTGCCCGAATTTTCAGTGTTCATTTAAAGCAACAGTTTTCATTTTGGAAAGACCCTGTGCGGGAGGACACCCCATGGCCCCAGGCCACTGGATACTGTGGCTGAAGCAGATCCCCTGCACCCCACACACAAAGCCCATGTGCACAGGATGCTCCTCCGCTGACAGCTGAGTTGGGCAGCAACCTGGATTTTCACCAGTAGGAAAATGTTAAAGAAGTTATGGCATCTCCTTAGCCACAGAAAATGCTGGAGTATGTATGCTCAATGAACACTAAAAAGGTTAAGGTTATAAAACCTTACTTGGTATTTTACGATTCCAGTTACACAAACAAACAATTTCTAGAAGTAAATACATGAAATGTTCACAGCTATCACAGTAAGTATTTACATGGAGTTAAAAGTTCTCTTTTTGTTTTCCAGAAGTTTCTAGTTTTTTTTTCCTGCAGTGCACATTACATATATGCTGTTTTTGGAAAGGGGAACTATATTCTTATTATGCAAGCAGCATTCTATCACCATCACCCATTCATAGCCACTGATCTTGAAGGGCACACAAAGGGGTTACCAGCTCAAACCTAGAATGGCTGACAGGCTCTGAAGGGTCAGCAAGGATAAATCAGGGAGGACTTCCTGCACTGTAGCACTTGTCAAAGGTTTGCTAAGATTTCTATCAGCAGAGATGCAAAGAAAGAATGGGGAGGAATGGGAGGGTTCTTCAGGAGAACAAAGTACGAGAAAGGACAGAGGATGGGAAAGACTTAAAAAAAGAAAGGAAGTGACCCATTCTAAGGCCTTTGGTAACTCTCTTGAGTTTCTGAGTCCTATGTCCCATTTTTGGCCCCAAAGCATCTGGCTTACCACTTTATCCCCCTGGGTCCCTGACTGGACTGGAAGTGACTCAGGATTTTTTTCAGAAACATCTACTTTCAAAGGCTGGAGAGTTTCTGTTGTGATTCTCCTGTGCTGTGGCTCCACCAGTGGTCTCCAGAGGGGCATTCCCAGCCTCTTCTGGCCCCGAGGCATCACATGGGAGCAGGCCCATGACCACCTCAGGGACGACCTGCCTGGATGTCTGGGCTCTGGGGTGAGCGCTCTGTCAGCCCCATTCTGTATGAGTTGAGGCTGAAGTTACTCTAGATTGGTGGTGAGGTCTTTAGTGATTGCAGTAGAAAATGGGTTCTGCTTTGGCAAAAGCTGTGTCTGGGCCATGGCGGTGTGCCTAACTAGAGGCAGGCTCTCTGCCAGCAGGGCCGGCCATAGACCCCCACAACTGTACCAGAGAAATGGCCCCCAGATCCTGGGACATCTGTTTCACGGGCACCTGCAGACTGAAGCCTGCACTGGGGACACAAATGGGGGAAGGTGCAGTCCTGCATCTTGCTGGTAAATTTTGCTCCAGTGTTTATTTTCAGGAGACAAGGTGAGAAGGGAAATGTTTACTTAATAATGGTCCCAGAAATTCATAAAGCCTCCAGTGGGTCAGTAGTGATCTTGGGGAAAAGAGCTTTGTGCTCCTCAGCTGGAAAGCCTGCCAGGCATTCTGCTCTGTTTCAGAACAACTTTCCTGTTCAAACCTGCATTAGAAGGGCCCCTTTATACAGCTATTGCTGTACAACCATTACAAATAATACAAACTAATTATTCACCCAAATAAAGGGACTTTAAAAAAATCAGGTTATCTGAGGGTAGTGGTTATTTTATACAACTTACTCACTGCTTTACAGGGGCCAGAAGTGGTTTCCCTCAGTGAGACCCCTGCTGCTGAGCCCTCTAGCTCTGCCTCTTCAGTGGGTGTGGCCCAAAGAGCAGGCTGCTGTCCTGGACAAGCAGGGTCTCCGGGAGGACTCCCATCTTGGCCATAACATCAGGCCCAGGGGGGACCTCAGAGCATTAACTCCAGCCCCTCAAATAAAAGAAGGGCAACCCCGGGTCTCGCCCACAGTTTACTCAGCTACACTGGAATGGCCTGGCCATCCAGGCCTTCCCCACCTAGCACTTTGCACGCCTCATTGCCCCTGTAAAACCAAGACTTACACACAGGCTCTGGTGTGCTCCTAGGAAAGGGAAGGCTACCGTGGTCTATGATGGCACCCACGGCTCCTGCCGCACCCCTTCCCGCCCTGGTCACAATGCAGATCTGTATCTCTCACCGGTAGGTGTCTTCGGAGTAGGTTTTCTGAACATAGTCCTGTAACTCCATCTGTGCCTTTTCTTGGAATTTTTCAATTTGGCTTGTGCTTGTCAAACCTGGATGATCTGAAATGAGAAAAGTGCCTTGGGCCTCTGTATTCAGAAAGCCTCACAGATCTCTTAGTGCTATTCCTAGTCAACCTTCTGACAGATTTCTCAGGTACAACAGATTGCACTCTGAAGGCAGATCTGATTTCCATATTACTGTTAAAACCCTGGTTTCTGTTCGGTGCCCGTCAAGGCCTGCAGTGTCCTGGGAGAGGGCTGAGCTCCTGGGCGGCCACACCAGCCTGGTAAGCCCCGCCTAGGCTAGTTCTGGACTTCTGGCTTTCTACTCTAGAAAACATCACTTTAAAACTATCACATGAGATTAGTAGTTACTGTTTACCATTTAGATATTTAATCACACAATTCCTCCCAGTTTTATTATTTTGTTGTTCACAACTGGAGGGCTGGGGGGGAAGTGGGAGGTTAAGCTGTAGTCAACCCCAGCTGCCAAGGACAGCGGCCAGGACAGCAGCCCCTGATCTCTGGAGGCTCTGGGAGAAGTGCTTGGGGGAGGGAGGCAGGCAGCCTGGTCCTCTTACTTCCCTCCTACAGTCCTGCCTGTGCGCCTGCTGTGAGCACACTGTCCTGTGTGCCCTGTGGCAGCTGCCACTACACAGCCTGGTAAGTGGGTGTGATCTGTGCTGGACTACACGGGCCAACACAACCTGACCAGCAAACAGTGAAACCAGTCAGAACAAGCAAGGACACCGGGTAGCAGTTACTTTTTTGTATGCTTCAGTCTTGTCCAGCCATTGGTTTAGGTTGGATTCTAACAGACTGAAATCACCAGGCACAAGAGCATGTTCCCCTGGGACTATAAAGGCCAAGAACTTAGAAGAGGCATGTATTCTGTTGGCTGACAAGCATGCCTATTATGAGAACGTTTGGTCACATACAGTTTGGCAGGGCTGTGCACCGCTGACCTCCGGACAAGTTCATGTTCAGGAAGTACCAGCGGACACAGGTGGGGAGTGGTCTGGAGCCTCTGCCCACGGCTTACCAGGACTAAAGAGCACGATGGCCTTCAGGTAGGCATACTCATAGCCGTCGACATCCAGCTTAGCCATGCTATTACAGAACTCCTGCAGCTTCCAGATGTGCTCCATGACTTGCTTTATCCGGTCACCGGAAAGCTTATCTAGAAGTCAACGTCACAGAGCCTCTGAGAAAGGCTTCTAAAAACAATTACACGACCTTCAAGGGGCCACAGATTGAAAGGCGTGGGAGAATCTATGTATGTGATTTAATCATCATGACAATACTTGGTTCAAGACACTAGTGCCTCTACACTCAGTTAAAAATGAAGGAAACGAAAGCTCCTCTCGGAACAAACCTAACTTAAATTCAATAAAAATGTCATAGAGTTTTTAAAAGATCACCTTAAACCAAAGGGGTAACCAGGAAAAACACGTGTGACCAGGTAGCTCCCTCTCCTAGATACACACACCCACAAGGCCCCACTAAAAGGGCAGCTCGATTCCACTTCAGCTGCAAGTGTAGATCTGCGGTGTTATCTCAAACCCTGTGCGTGTGCACTTCACACAGGATCTGCCAGTGTGGTGGATCTGCAGCACGGGGGAACTGCCCTATCTCCTAGTCCCAACATGGCTGGGATTTACCACCAAATGTGAGATGGTTGCCACAGATTGTTCTGGAAACTTTCCTGAACTAGGGGCTATAGATGACTCAGGTTTGTGCCCCAACTCCTCTACTTGCTGTTTCATTTGGGGCAAGTTAGGGACCTTACTGGGCCCTCAGTTTCCCTACCTGTAACACTAAGAGAATGCTGTCTAAGCAGTTGTGAGGATCTGTGTGCTATTACACATGAAAGGGGACCTGTTGTGAGATAGTAGAAAACAGGTATCCTGGTCTTTGCCTCTGGGTTCAGGCACAGCTCCTGAAACTCTTGCAAGCTCCTAAGTGGTAAGAGCACCAGGAGTATCTCCTGTCCTGCTGAGGTGATGCTGGGTGGCTGGTCGGCAGGAAGGCCAGGCCACAATTAGAAGCTTGGACTTCCCAGCACCACCCCTCATCCTCCAGCGAGGGGAGAGGGGCTAGAGGTGGAGTAACTGATCATGCCTGCATGAGGAAGCTCCATAAAATCCCCTTGGTAGGGGGTTTGGAGAGCTTCTGGGTGGGTGAACACAGTCACGAGGGGCAGAAGCTCCTGTGTGCTGTGTATCTCTTCATCTGCATCCTTTATCATGTCCTTTAATAAACTGGCAAATGTGTTTCCCTGAGTTCCATGAGCTGCTCTGGCAAATTAATCAAACCCAAGGAGCACTGGAACCTCTGATCTGTAGTCGGTTGGTCAGAAGCACAGGCAGCAACCTGAGCTCTAGACTGGTGTCTGGAGTTGTGTGTCCCCTGCCCCCTCCCGGGGGATGGTCTGGTGGGACCGAGCCATTAAACTGTAGGGTCTGGTGCAGCCTCTAGGGAGCTCAGTGTCAGAACTGAAACTGCAGGACCAGCTGGTGCTGCAGAGATTTGCTGGTTGTGACTGTGGATGGGAAACACCCCCACCCTGTGGGTGGTGAGGAAGGCACACGGGAAAGGCCTAGTGGGGAAGAACTGGGTTTCCCTACAGATAAAAACTGCAGTTTCTCCCACTTAGGCCTGTCAGTAAAGGTGAAAATAAAAGCTGTGATTATTCTGAAAACATTAAATGCCTGAATGTATCAGGAAGCTGGCACCTTTTCACAATTATTTTTTTTTCCCTTTCACATTCATTATATGAAAAATCAGGTAGAAATTCCAATGTTCTGACTGGTAAAGATTCTAGGATTTAAAAGTTAAACTGCCCTCTATTCCTGGATTTTTTTTTCCTTTCTTCCTTACTTCAATCGTCAATCATTTAGATTTATTTGTAGGAGAAAATCCAAGGGGAAAAGTATCTTTAAATTCAGAGGGATCCATTCGAGTAACAGACACATTATTATACCTTTGATAAGCAGAGGAACTGCTTAGTATTTTTCTCTGACTCCTTCAGGAAGTGCTCTTGAAATTTTTCTTTTGGCTTTAAAGTGGAGTCACTTGGATCTAGGCCAGGCTGCATATACCTCCCCGCCCCCAGCCCTACCTTCTTGGATGCTGTTCTGCAGGTGGTTGACGATGGCTGCCAGGATGGTGGAGAGACTCATGACCTGGGAGCACTGCGCCAGGCCGAGGGTGAAGAGCTCGTTCCAGCAGGCCCGCACCAGGCTGGTGTTGCAGTCTTGTCTGGGAACATGGGGAGACAGCTGCAGGGGAGCTGGCACTTCTCCAAGCCCCAGCATGCCCCAAATAAGCGGACTCAGCAAGCGTCTGTTGAAAGTCTGTGCTATGTCGAGACTCCTCCGAGGATACAATTGTCTATGAATCTCTTATCTGAAGTCCCTCTGAAGATAAACAGCCTACTCTCTTAAAAAAGGTTTGTTAGACTCAAGTAATGAGAACTTGTAGCAGGCACAACGGAACTGTCATTTCCCATGATCGAGGAAATCTGCAGCAGTCCTGGTGTGGCTCTGTCTCAAGAAGCTGCAGCACTCAAGGGACAAAGCTGAGCATGGACTCTGAAAGCAGGAGACATGCCTTACACCCACGCTTAAGAACTGAGGACCTGCCAACCTGCAGGGAGAAGCTGGGACATGATGGGCTTTCAGCCCTGCCCTGGGGAATTTATGGACAGCTCAACATGGTCGGTGCACTGCAGAACCTTATGCCCCTATCTCAGAAGCCCCCAAATGCAGCATCTCTCTACTTAAGATCTCAGGACGACTCCTGACTTCTATTCCACTCCACCCCTGGCTCCTACCACCCAGTCCTCGGCACATGGAGATGGCCTGATAAAAGGTCTGAGGAACGGGTCAGCCTTGGCAACCATGGTCCCTGGCTAGCAGTCCACTGATGGTACTTAGTAAGAATATCAGCGTCACTTGAACGAGACCACAGGAACAAACTGGAAGGGCACTCAGAAACCTTCGAGGCCATTCCTAGAGGGACAACCCTTGCCCAAGAACACATACAGAGAGAAAGGCCACTTACCCCAGAGCCTGAAAGGCAGGGATTGACCTGGCCCAGTGCATGGAGAGGAAAAGCAGGCGGGACGCAGACTCGCAGATGTAGTGCACGTTGAGGTACTCTGGCATTGGGCTGGGCATCGTGAGCTGGGGAGGAGGAGGCACACAGCACAGGTGGTGATGGAGAGACAGGGCACAGCTTTGTCAACATGAGTCCCTGTTGCATCTCAACCACGCAGCAGCCTGGGTCACTGACACTGAAGCTCCTGTGCAGACCCTTCCTCATGAAGCGTGTGTCCTCTGTATGGGGGTGGGGGGCTGGCTCTGACTTCCCATAGTTTCTTGCCCAGGGAACTGGGGTATGATGACTCTTGGAATAAAGCCAGTGATGGGGACCTCCCAGCTCACCCAAAGACACATTCTTGCTGCAACTAATTGTAATTTATTCCAAAGCTATTCCATTGAGCCATAGTTCAAATCTAAATCAAATTGAGGGAAGAGGGGCCATGTCACATACTAGCAGGCCTTTGTAGGTGGCCTCAAGGTAACAGCGAGAGCTGAGCAGAAGCCTACAGGGTAGGAGAATGATACCCCACACTGGAATGGCCAGGCTGGGGAGCTCCATTGTCTAGAAGGTGCATTAATGCCATTAAAAGTGAACTCCCACTGGTGACCTATAGCCTTGGCACCCTTGCAAAATTATGAGCAGGGACCCATCTTCCTAAGTGGCCAGATATCTCTAGTGAAGAACACTGGGAAGGAGCAGGAAGACTCAGTCTGGGGGCTGAGAGGGCACCTGGGAGTGTCCCGCAGAAGCGAGGCCAGTGGAGGAGCACGGGGAGGACGAGGACCTAATGGGGCTCCTCACAGAGCTCTGAGACCTGTCTGCTGTGGCTCTGTGGTTAGGCAAGTGGTTAGGCCCCATGGTTGGGAACGGGGGTGGGCTATCTGCATACAGAAAAGGCACATTATGAGCTTATGCTGGAGCCCAGCTGGCACTGGAAGGCGGAAAGCAGAACAGTTAGCTAACAGCCCTTGCCAGTGAGCACCAAGTCAGCCCCTCTTGGCAAGGGCAGGCCACACCTCTTCACGGTAAGTTACCTTCAGAGCCACATGGTACTGTCAGCAAAAGATGTGTGAAAATGCTTCCTAATGGAATGTTATTTCAGAATACAACATTCTGATCAAAATCCACAGTAGGATAATGAGCTCACTGCAAAGTTTGATCTTTAAACTGCAGACCAGCTTTGGTACAGAGCCCCTCTCCCAGCAGGCTGGGGAGGCTGCGCCACTCACCTTAAATGTGACATGAGTGTCTGAAAGGAGGGGGCCTTCGACCTCTATGATGGGCGTGGCCTGGTCTCTGCTGATGACATGAATGCCCCCTCCTCCACTGGCATCTATCCCATCCCCCAGGCTGGGGGGCGAGGAGCTGTCTGTGGTATTAAGTGCTTTAGCTAAGGTATCAAATGCCCTGTGAGCAAAAACAAAACAAGCAAGTTGTGAATCCAGAGTTTAGGGGGACCAGAACTCTGCCTCCTGAGGGAAGGGGTAACAGTTTTTGTGTACTGTCTATACTCATCTTGGGCACTATAAGCTGTATATTATTTATCTTCACAAAACATTTCTGTTTTTTATAACTACTCTCCGAGGTAGAATCTCCATTTTACAGATTTGAAAGCTGGGCATACAGATGCTAGTTTCCCAAACCACCCATTCTCTTCCACTGGCTCCAGGTCTCAATTGGCTATCAGACCGCAAGCGACCATGAGGACCAACACACACAGGCACATGGCCCCAGCCATGCACCTGCCTGGCCTGGCAGATGGCAGGATTGGCCAGACCCCTGGGAGAGGAGCAACTAAATATACAAGGGGCCAGTATAGAGGAGAAATACCCTCAGCAGCCAGTCTCAGATGACGGGCCAGCTCATGCTACCACCAGCTCATGTCTGTCTAATACCCTGATGGATTTAAGCTCTACACTCACTGCCTGGAAAAAATATACATAAGAAAAATAGGCTAACAGAGAAATGGAGAAAAGGATGAAATATTAATATTCGGGCACAATAAGCAGTGACTAACATAAGTAACATCTGTGCACTGAAGGGTTTTCCCCTGTGAAGTTACTCAATTTCCTTTCTTCATTGTTTGGAATGAAAAGCAATTTTTGATCATTTTAAATCATGTAATACAAGTGGGTACACATTCCCGTAGTCAAAATTGGAAGAAGACAGGTGTTCAGGGACACTGACAATTCCACAGTCCTTGACTAAAGACAGGGTGGAGTCAAAATGGTACCACCCACCCTCACAACAGTGACTGAGTGTGCACGGCAGGCGGGGAGCCCCCACCCCGCAAGGGCCATACCGAGTAATCTCACTTGCAGACTGGTCCTCTGGCTGCATTTCCGAAGCATCACCATTGTTGAGGGACTCAGTCAGGTTGGCAAGGGAGGTCACTACATTCGCCAGTGTGCCCAGAGCTCCCTGGCTTGTTTCAGCCTATTAAACAAAAAAAGACTACATTAATGATACACACACACACACAATGTGTAGCATGGGTTTAAAAACAGTTTCTGTGTGAGTGTGACTACAAAGGGCAGGACTAGGGAGAGCTTTCTGATAATGGAATGGTGCTGTATGTGAACCTGTGGTGATATTTACATGAATGTACATGTGTAACAAAATGACATGAGGACAGGTAAAAGTTGGATGCCACCAAAATTTAAACTTTTGTATCAAAAAGACATTATAACAAGAAAGTAAAAGCATAACCCCTACACAAAAGACAACCCACAGAATGGGAGGGAATATTTGCCAATCACATATCTGGTGATGGTTTTGTAGCCACGATATCTAAAGAACTATTATAACTCAGTAATAAACAGACAAGCCAGTTAAACATGGGCAAGGGATTCAAATACACATGTCTTTCAAAGATAGGCAATTGGCCAATAAGCACATGAAAGATGCTCAACATTACTGGAAAAGCAAACTAAAGCCACAATGAGATACCAGTTCTCACCCACCAGGATGATTATAATAAAAAAAGACACAATGACAAGTGTTGACGAGGCTGTGAGGGAATGAGCCTCATACACAGCTGGCAGGAATGTGCTACAGTGCAGCCGCTCTACACACAGCCTGGCAGTTCCTCAAAAGGTTAAATATAGAGTTGCCGTATGACCAGCATACTACTAGGTGTATCCATGAGAGAAACTAAAATGTCCACAAAAACATTTATACACAATGTTCACAGCATTATTCATAACAGACAAGAAGTCCAGACAACGTAAATGTTTGTCAGCTGACGAATGGATAAATACATGGTATAGCCATCCTGTCACAGCACAGATGAACCCTGAAAACATTACACTAAGAGAAAACTGCCACCACAAGAGGCCATGTACTGGATGAGTCCTTTCATATTAAATGTCTAGAATTGACAAAACTGTATTCAGAAGGGAGATTATTGGTTGGCAGGGGTTGGGAGTGGGAGAAGGGGAAGTGATGCTTACTGGGTTCAGCTTCTATTTGGTGTAATGAGAATGTTCTGGAATTAGTGGTGATGGCTGCACAACCCCATAAATCACTGAACTGTGCACCAAAGGGGCAAGTTTTCTGGTATGTAAGTTACACTCAATTAAAAACCAAAAATATACTCAAATAAGCCAAGATATGTACACACAAGTGTCGATTGTGTCTTGATTTCTGAAGTCAAAAATCAGTATAAAAGACCATAAACAGAACTGATTAATAAATCACAGAACAACTGTATGATAGAATATTGTGCAGCTGCTAAAAGATGTGGGTCAACATGATAGAAAGATGAAGGGACATAAAGTTGAAGAAGAGTGAAAAAAAAGAAAAAGAACACTACCTGCACATGGACCCAGTGTCCCTTCTGGGTCTTGAAACCGTCCTGGGTTTTCACAAGACGGAAGCAATAGGAGAAGCTGGGTGAAGGCTACGTGGGCTCAAGTGTGAAGGCTATGGAACACCTTCACACTTACTCAAAGTAAATCATGTTCAATGTATCTTTATTTCAAAGTAACAAGTTTAAAAAACAGCTTCTGGAAATAGCTACCTTGAGGTACTTTGCATATATTCTATTACCCATGACAGACGTCTGGGGCAGTGCTGCTGCCTGCACTCCACAGAGGGGACAGGCTGGAGCATGAGTTGGAATCTGCAGCTCTTAATTATTCCTTAAATAGGTCCCTTCTCCCTTGTCCAGTGGCCACAGCCAACTCCGAACAGTTAACATTTATAGAGAACTCACTGTAGGCCCTGTGCTTTATAAAACAAACTCACTCAAGTTTCCCAGCACCCCTGTGGTGGGTGGTCCTGGAGGAAGCAGAGACTAGTAGAGAGGGCCCGTGGCCACCTAGAGCGGCGCTGAGCGTGGAACCCCAGTCTGGTACTGTGGGGGCTGTTACTCTCCACCTCTGCCTGGGCAGCACAACAGAACAGTTGCTGTGAAATCTCTTGTTAACCAGTTTTCAGGTTATTCACCTCTTACCTCCAAGCTTATGGTTTCTCTCCGCTGCACTGTCCTGAATGTCTGCTGAGTGAAAGCAGAGAGCCAGATGCTATTCCTGTGTCACACACATCACCACTGCCCAAAAGACAAAGCTCCAAGCCCAGCCTGAGGCCCATCGGGTGGAGGCAGCTCTGTGCCAGCCAACGACACTCCTTTTGCCTTTTCTTTCCCAAAAGAGGATGTTCCTCAGTGTACATTGCGGGCATGTGCACAGGTAAGACTGAGCTCTGCAGGCCTAGCTCTGGCTCCCAAGCAGCACAGGGCCAGTGCTCTGCTAATGAGTTGCTCCTTTTCAAGAGGGAACATTAGACCTTAGCCATAGCTTGCTGCTACTTTACTACCATTGGCTTATGTCAGGAACAAGAGAGGCGAAATAATGATGGGTCCCTTGCCTAGATACCCCCACAGGAGTTAGCCAGTTGTCTCTCTCTCTCTCTCGGACTGACAAACACCTCTGTCCACAAGTTAAATTCCCTATGGCTGAGCTACTCTAGTAGTTTTGGAATTCCTAGAATTCTGGCTAAACTTCCTCCTGCAGCTCACCTAATAAAAAGGAACTAGGGGCTTTGCAAAAAGTCATCTTAGGATAAGTAGCTATTTTCTCGGCATGCCCAGCCCTGAGTCAGTTTCTGAAAAATGGGCATGCCTGAAATAAATCACGGAATGTCCACAGAGGAAGTGAACAGATGCAGAAAGCCATGCTTTCAATTCAACACAGTCCCTGAAGGCCACGAAGGTGGGTGCACACATTTAGAGAAGCAGACTGCACTGCAACAAAAGGGTGGAGAAGGTGTAAACAGAGAACATCACCTTGGAGTCCGTGGCCAGGAGAACTGTGCCATCCTCACGTATCAAAGGCTGCTGGATGTTCACAAGCATCCCTGGATCAAGAAGACCTGTTTGTCTATTTAAGACAAAGAAACCCAGAGTAGCTTCCAACACTGAAGGCACTGCATGGCCACGCTCCAAGTCCCCATCCCTTCCACACCTGCAAAGCGGCCTGAGTAGGAAAGCTCTAAACTCTGCCACTGAGTGACTCAACAATGCAGTCACTCTCTGCACTGAGCTGTGTCCAAAACTGGGTCCACAGCCTGTCTCTGGGCTTCCACGCTGGCTGCAGACTTTGGCTGCTCTGCTGAATAAAGTTCACTTGGTTTTCAGAATACCACTAGGGCCCTCTCAACTCTAGTTCTTGTTAACAATACATTTTGAATTCGTTTCCCTCTTTCTGCTCCTTTCAAATTAAGTTCAATATATTACACTTAAAAGAACGTGTAAGTTATCTTACAGCACTTTCTGGGATCCACCAGGTACCCGGGCCTCTTGTCCATACTGCAAAGAAGCCTCAGCCTTGAATTACACAACTGGCTTTCCTGTGTAAATAATCCTCAACTTTTGCACATGGTCTGAGCCCCTGAGATGGGAGGAATTCTGACCCCATCTTTATAATCAGTCATCCTCAGGCCTGCCGAGAGGTGTGACTGGAGCAGCTCCAAAAACGTTGGGACAAGGCCAGACAAGGCTGAGGCCACGGCAGGCAGGCGGGGAGCCACGTGAGCCCCTTTCCAAGCAGTACCCGTGCCTCCTCTGATCGGCCCCCAAGGCTGAGTGTAGTATCGCCCTTTGTCAAAGCAGGGACTGACCTTGCTCCATCTTTATCTGCCACAAACGTGGGAGTGGCTATCAGAGGACTCCTCAGGTCCTTGCGGATATAGATTTTCTCAGTGGAAGCAGCACAATTGCTTGGTTTCTCCCGTTGCACATCAAAAGGCTTTCGTTCACTCTGCACAGCTTAAATCACAACATAAACAACCATGTTTAGAGGAAAGATTCAAATGATTAAAAACCATGTCCTTCATGGTTAAGTGAGGGGTTTTCCTTTGTAAGCCCATTACTGTAGGGATGATAAATGCTAGTGCTAGATACATCTAGCTCTATTTCACTGGCTGGACTTTCTAGACAGAGAGAAAGGCTCAACACCAGCAATGCCATGTCAATCTAAAGGCATGAAGAAGAGCTCAAGGTGGTGGCTCTGCTCACTGAGAAGCTGCAGCCCTGCACTTGCATGGTTGTAATGGGACCTGCGCTGGGCCCTCCGGGTTTTCACTTCTTGCTGCTAACAAAAGGGACTCTCTTCAAGATAAGAAACACCCACCTTCAAACGAACCTTAACAGGGAGCTTGTCCAAAGCCACACATTGTGAAGAAATATTCTAACATCCAACTCAAGCCTGCACAGCTTCTGCAAACTGTCAATTTTATATGAAGCTAGCAATCTCTCCCTTCAGCAGTCTGGTGTACGAGCAGGCATGTGTGCCCAAAACAATGGAAGAAAATAAAGACCCCTCTCAAAGAGAGGATGGGTGAACCCTAGAACCGGGAAGGAAGGAGGGGGACTCTGCTTCTCAGACGGGGACTTTGCAGCTGAGAGAGGCTACATGCCTTCCCCAGGCTTCAGAGCTCCTAAGCAGCAGAGTTAGAGTCTGACCAGGTGTCAGCTTTGCCCCGAGGCCTGTGTTCTCCCCACTCCCCTGTGTGCCTTCCAACTTCCCCGGCATAGGTTCCCACACACACCGTGGGCGCTGACCAATCCCAGTAGCACTGGTGATGAATACCCAGCCGACCTGGTAGGTAAACCAAAATAAAGCCTCAGTGGGCATTTTTCTTACGGAATTTAAAGCCTCTCTCCCTCCTCCTTTTACTCATGTGATGGTGGTGAATGCTATGACTCACATTCCATCTTCATGCCCATCTCCAAGCACTTCTTCAGCCGGCAGAACTGGCAGCGGTTACGGTGGTGTTTATTGATGACGCAGTCCTGGTTGCTCCGGCAGCTGTACGTCAGATTCTTCCTTACACTCCTTTTGAAGAACCCTTTGCAACCTTCACAACTGACAGCTCCATAGTGACGGCCTGAAAGGAGAGGGCAGCAGGGAGAAGTCCACTCAGGCCCTGCTTGTAAGGCAAGCCTACCAGCTGGCAGCATCTGGTGTAGTGTCATAGGCCAGCAAACGGGGGACAGCCAAGGCACGAGCAGAAAGCATGGTGCCCAGGTCCTGCACATAATTTTTTCACAACCTCAAAGTAGCCCTGTGAGTTTATGAGGAAAAAACAAGCTCGGACAGGTTACGTGACAGCTGGTAAATGGCATGGCCCCAGTGCTGCGAGCACACGGACGACCTACCCGAGCAGGGGTGCACCGATGATGCTGAAGTGCACGTCCACTGTGTGCGCCTGGGTCTGGCTCAGCCACCTGGGCTACTGAAGCCACTCAGCTCTCCTGTCCGCCAAGGGGGCACCCAGCAAACACCTGCGTGGGTTTTTTTAAGTACAAGGCCCTGCTCCTGTGTTTACTCCCTGTGTGGGAGTCTGGTTCTGCGGCCCAGACATACCCTGGGGGGAGTGGAACGGGGGAGGCAGAAGCGTGGGAATAACAGCTGCACAGGCCCGAAGGGCAGGAAGGTTCCCCGGGCTTCTCCGTGGTAGGCACACACTTTGGAAACAGCCCTAGAAATTAAATCCACTTACTAAACACAGTTCTTTTTCTCATCTTGCTGACTTTGGTGTTAACATTAAAAAGAGCCCCTGCCCTGCCATAAGTTTACCCTTCTTATTCACAAAGTGCTTCTAGAGGCCTGCACCTCATCTATTCCCCGCTAAATATGCTCTTCTAGTTCTACCTTCTGTGACCCCACATCAGAGCTGCTCTGCCAGGAGGGCGCATCTCCCAGGATCATCATGTCTGGCGGCTGCGGAGCACCCCAGTGCCCTAAACACTAACACATATGGCTGTCCCCCAGTGTGCACTTGGGAGGGCTCCATTTTCTCTCTTTAAGAACAGTCGTGCTAAAATTACCATGCAGATATTATTTTTTCTTTCTCATAGTATGTTTCCTTGGGCTCTGTAGCCTCAGAGTAACCTCTGATATCTGGAGACAATAGCCCTGTAAGCCTGTAAAACCAGGCCATTTGTTGCCCATAAAGGGACTGGCAAATGGGGAAGCCGAGCAGATTCTGAGGCCTCCTCATTACGTTCATGCTCTGTTCATTTGTTCAAAAGTTTGCAGAGTGCCTGTCCTTGCTGAGCAAGAAGATGAAGACAGGTGGAGGCGTCAGGCACGGCTCTTGCTCGAATGAAACGAGCACACACTGTGGCAGGGAAGGCAGGCTGGTAAGAACCAACCACACGTCAGAGAGGTCTGTACCAAAGGGCGACGAGGGCAGAGGCAGAGCTGGACCCTGCCTACGCGGCAGGGGAGGGCCTCACAAAAGGGCTGGGACGGGCTAGGTTTTGCCCTGTTCAGGACAGGGCATAGGAGCTGAGGCAGGGCGCCTGGCAGAGCAAAGGGGGCTATGGCCTGGGAACAGATGTCTGCCTGTGCTGTTGTCCTAAGAGGCTTAGTCCAGCCTCTTATTTTTGTTGTCGTTTTTGTCTTTAACCAAGACCACGGTGTCCAAGGTTCCTGAAAATTTTGTGACCACAGAATGAAGTGGACCAAGCAGCCATCCCAGTCCATGCCCCCAGCATCACTGTACTTGGGTTGTACTGTCCTAAATAATTCTCCATACTGTCCTGCCTGGCTCACTCACCTTCCACGGGCCCCCAGGGTCAGCAGGCTGAAGACTGAACTTCTGGGCCAGACATCTTCTCTAGTGTCCTTGCCCCCACTTGCTAACCATGGAAGGCCAGCAGCTCCCCACAAAGACCCCACGGGTGTGGATGCAGAATGCTGCGGGCCCTGTCCACCAGCCGGAATGCCCTTCTCTCCCCGACATGCACACCTTCAGTCTCCAAGGCTCACAGATGTGGTCGCCTCTGGGGACCTTCCCTGACCCTGGGACTCCAGCCAGAATCGCAGGCCCCCCTCCTGCATCACAGCAGTTTCACATCCTGTGTTATAACGAGGGGACGGCAGAGACAGTCACAGTCAGGGTGAAGGGGGAGCAGACAGTTCATGAAGGAGTGCAGCACTGTGTAAACAGAAATGACCACTTTCCCAGCAGTACATAAATATCTGACATGCAACCAAGGTATACAAACCACAGAAAGAGTTCCTTCTTTTATTCTAAGAATCTGACAAACTGGTCTGCTTATATAACCAACCCAGTAAGAAAAGTGGAGCCCATGTTTTACAACCGACAAACCTGCAGAAAATATTCTCTCTCCATTAACCTCCCACCCCACATTTGTTCCACGCTGTGCGCCCAGCATGGCCAAGGGCTACTTACCAGAGGCTTTGTCCCCACAGACCACACAGTACTCCACCACCTGGGGCCGCTGGACGTCGGCCTTCCCCAGCAAACGCTCCACAGAAGCAGAGTCCGTGACGATCTAGTAAGAGTCAGGAAATAAGCAGGGTGCTGATTAAAATAAAAACCATACTAAACAAAATAATGTTTAACTATGAATTCTTAATCTTGGGTTTCTAAGCAGAAGAACCCTGGGCAGAATTGGGAAAATTCCACCCACTAACTCAGTCTGACACCCAGAACGCCCTGCTGCTCATGTGGGTTGTGCTCAGCGGTGGGGCGGGCTGGGCTGTCCATGGCCAGGCGCTGGTTTCCCCCTGTCGATTCTCCAGTCTGGCCACCACGGCCACCCAGGATGGGGGCCAAGTCGGGAAGCACATACAGACAGTCCAACACGAAGATAGCAAAGGTCTTTCTAGCTGTCTCTCTTCCCACAAAATAGCTTAAAAGTGTACAGAGGGGTGTACGAGGCAGAGAAACAATCATGCTTTTTTAATTAAATAACTAGGTCTCTCGCTGAGGCAGCTGGGAGAGGAAGGCCTGGACTCCTGCTTTCTCCTTCATTTGTAGGAGGCTTTCTAGGTGACAGACAGTGCTCCTTCTAGGAAGAACAACTTCCCCGGTAGCAACAACAGACAGCAGAAAAGAGCTGTTCTTACATAATGTACCAAAAACAAGCCTCAAAACGGTTATGTGGAGGAGGATATACAAATATACAAAGGAAGTGTGAGGCACCATTCTAATTGCACTATGAGGTGTCTCAAAAGTACAGTTCTGAAAACTGAACAGTGGTGTTCTGAGCTCTTATAAGAAAAAAATACTTTTCTTCCTTAATTTTTCCTCACAGCAGAAAGTCCTCCCAAAACACATGGATGCTTAGCAGCATTACTCACAATAGCCAAAAGGTAGAAGCATTCTAAGTGTCCAAGGACAGGTGAAAGGTAAACATGGTGTGGTCTATACACAATGGATATGCCCCAGCCTTAGAAAGGAAGGCCATTCTGACACAGCTACAACGAGGATGGGCTGAGGCCACTGGTTGCAGAGAGACGGCCCGGTCACCAAAGAACAGACACCATGGGGCCAGCGCTGCTGTGAGGCGCCCGGCGTCATAGTCGCAGCGCCAGAAAGTGGGATGGGGGTGGGCAGGGGCTGGGGGTTAGTGTTTAAAGGGGGTGGTTTCTGTTGGGAAGATGGAAAGTTCTGGACATGGATGGTGGAGGTGGCTGCGCACACTGTGAAGGAACAATACCAAGGAACTGTAAACTACAAATGATTAAGAAGGCGAATTTTGTATTTCACCATAAATCTTTGAAAAGTAAAAAAAAATTAAAAACAAAAACTTGAATGGTACCTAGACCCTGACTGAACATGTTCCATGTCCGGCCACCATGGGACACTGGCCTTGAGTCTCTGTTCCTCTAAGTGATGGGCTTCCCAGGAGCCCTGCTTTCCTTTCAAGCCCTTGCCCCTCTCCGTCTGGACCTGCCCCGGCCCCACCCAACCTGTCAGAATAGAGAGAACCAGGGCAGGTGGGGGTAAGAATGCAGGGGCCCAAAGGTAGCCGTCCAAGGAGCAAGGGCAGAATGAAGAGCCAGGACCAGGCGTGGCGGCCTGGACGAGGCTGAGGTAGAGGTGGGAACAAGTTAGTCCTTGTCTTGCTGTGGTCACAGCCCTGGGTGGTGCCCCTGAAATATCATGGGCCACGGGCTGCCGCCACGTGGCCTTAATTAAGAACATTCTCCAGGGACCGCATCGCCAGCTAGCTCACCCCAGCCTACTGTGGGCCACTGATGTCTCCTGCTCAAGTTCCATCCCACCCAAACACTGCAGCTGGCTGCCTTCTGGGCCTTGCCACTCACTCTGCTGCTTTAGCAGCAATCTGCCATGTTTGCAGGACTCCAAAGGGCCATCTAGGGATGGACTGGGCCTCCAAAGCAGAGGTAAGAGTCAGAAACAGGTCTGGGAGCAGAAGTGCAGAAACAAAAATCTGTCCATAGGCCTTACCTGGATCCTACCAGGAACAAGGTTATCTGAGGTGGTAAATATAAGCTGCTTGGCACTGGATGTCTCTGGGGAGGCCAGGATCACCTTCCCAGTTCCAGCTCCATCTGGGCTGGTCAGGATAAACTGCTGCTTGGGGGACCCGGAGGCGTCCACTGCGGTCACTATCTGGATCTTCTGTCCCGTCTGCTGGTCTGTCACAATCTACAAGACACAACATGGAGGCTGCTCTCAAGGAGCATTGTGTGACCCGTGCACTTGCAGGTGGCGTTCAAGGCGGTGAATGCTGGTGATGTCCTGGGGTCAGTGATGGTCCAAGATGGTTTCACCAATGCGTGGTGAAATGAGAGAAATAAAAACAACACTGAGCTTTTCAGAATCCAACTTTCAGATAGCTCATTTTATTCTAGGATGCTATCATTCCTACTATTTTTAATTAAAATGGCCTTTGGGATGTGGGGTGGGGGAGAATTGGAGGAAGGTGGTCAAAAGGTAGAAACTTTCAGTTATAAGATAAATGAGTATGACGGAGGTAATGTCCCACATGCTGACTGCAGCTACCACTGCTATGTGGTGTATTTCATAGTTGCTAAGAGAGTAGATCCTAAGTTCTTGTCACAGGGAAAAAAACATTTTTTTTTTCTGTATCCATATAAGGTAATGGATGTTAACCAAACTTACTGTGGTAATCATGTCACAAAATATGTAAGTCAAGTCATTATGTTGTACACCGGAAACCTATAAAGTGCCATATATCAATTATATTTCAATAAAACTAGAAAAAGAATAGCCCTTTCTTTTATTAAATGAAGACAATAATAAACACTATTTAACTTAAAAAATAATACTATCCTTGTCCTGGGCATAATAAAAAAAATGTGGGCAACCCTAACTTTTTTGAAATGCTTCTAACCAACAAAGCCCCAAATCCTGGGCTGACTGCGTTAAGGCAGAGTGGTTTCTGAAGGGAAGGGCCTGGACATAATCTTGCGTTGGGGTGACAGAGTGCAGGAGTCCCTTGCTGACACACACCCAACTTCTCTCACATCCTGACTCAGAAGTCTTTAAGGACAGAGATGACACCTGATTCAGGGCTGTGTCCCTGGCCTGGCACCTGGAGAGACTTTAGTGAAAGTTAGTGGCAATGCTGAAGGTGGCGGGTGCTGACTCTGGACAAGTCCTGACCCTGCTTCCTCGGGGCTCCCTCCTCAGGAGCCCAGCTGTCGGGGAGCCTGCCCTTTCCCGGCATCCCTGCCCTGCCTCCCGCCAGTGCCCAGCATGCCCGAGACACTGGGGACCCTCACTGCAGACACTGCCAGGCTGGTGGGGCTGGGTATGTATGTGGACACTCCAGCTGGAACTCAGCTCCCGACAGCGTATTCTGGGCAGGGCTGGCATCTGCACCACATCCTGATGCTACTGTGTCCCATGGCATTCCAAGGCTCATGGAGCAAACCCCCAGAGTCTAATATGACAGCTTACCAACTTCCCGTATGGAAAATCAGACAATGCTGGTTGGTTCAATAGCAAATGACAGAGGCAAGAAAAATTCAACCACTTACTATGTGTTTCCCAGGTACCCACGGTATGTCAGCCTCCGCCGCTGGTTCTAGGCATAAGGGCATGAGCACAACAAAGGTGTGATGCCCTGGGACTAGCTTTCCAGGGAGGAATGGACCATGTACACTGGCATTATGAAACGTCAATCAGTGGTTTGTGCCACAGAGAAAATAAAAAGCAGAGAAAGTGGCCAGAGCGTGACACGGGGAGGGAGGCAAGTGGGCACCTTGTGGAAGAAAGGCCTCGCGGAGGGGTGACACTGAGCAAAGACCGCATGAAGCAAGAGAGGAAGCCATGCAGAGCTGTGGCATAGAGTGACACAGGCTAAGGGCACAAGTGCCAGGCCAGGAAGGCCGGAGACTGGGAGAAAGATGTGAGAACAAATCCTTAGCTGACGGCTGGGCAGGAATCCCAGCCTATCATCTTTTCCAACTGAAGGGTCATAAGATAACTTTAAGGTTGAAGAAGAAAGGATTTAGAGAGAAGGAAAGGAAGTATGCTTCACTGTTACAGCTTGTTGGTCGTACAACCCAGAGTCCCCTGAAAAAGACAGGAAACCTTGGAAAAAGAATTCTCCTTTAAAACCCTCTCCTACCCCATGTTCCACTGAAAGACTGCAGACTGACTGCCACATGCTTCTCTCAGATGCCAGGAAAGAAGGGACTCCTGCCTCAGTGAGGCCCTCAGAGCCTGGAGACCCAGGAGTCAGATGTTTGACTTCCTTCTCATGTCTATTAATTATTATTTCCTTCCTAAACTGTTTTCCCTGTTAAGAAATGAAAGTTATGTTATTGAGAAGGGTCTTCAATTACCAGCTACAACTGGGCAAGGATAAGTCCTTAGCCTGGCGTGTTCAGGTGAGTGCTGGGTCCAAGCACACATGGCAACTGGCGTGTCCCCTCCTTGTGCTAGTCGCCAGACCTCCTGGTTGAGACATGGCAGGTACGGGGCAGGGGGTGGGAGGTAGGAGTGACTGAGTTTAGACAGGAACAGCTACTCTTGGAGGCTACGTATAACATATCCTACACAACCCACACTATTTTTTATTCCCTGAGAGATTCAGGCTTATATAAGGTTCAATGAATTAACTGCAAACTCTTTTCTTGTTTATCCTTCCTTCCCAAAACATTTGCATTTCTCATTTAGAGAGATCACATCCATGAAAAAACTAAAACTATAAGCAGAAAAAAAAAATCCCCCAAATACCCTACTGGAACCCTAGGGTGACCATTAGGCAAACAAAGGCCTTGCTAACAAACACGAGCAGGTAGTCTCCTGGTTTAAGGAGACCGAGGCAATATCAATTTGAGGATGTATCCAGACTCGTTATCATGTAAGTCTCCTATGGAGGAGAGGTGTGGTGGGCAGAACCATGTCCCGCCAAAAAGACGGTTAAGTCCTAACCCCCAGGACCTGTCAATGTAACCCTACTGGAAACAGGGCCTTAGCAGATGAAATCAAGCCACGCTTGAGGCCAGACTGGATGGGGGCTGGCCCCAAACCAATGACAGGTATCCTTACAAGAAGGCCATGTGGCAGCTGAGGCAGAGGCCAGAGTGACAGAGTGGCAAGGACGCCAGGAAGGCCGGCAACCAGCAGCAGCAAGGCCGGGGCAAGGGTGTGTGTGTGCCTAGAACCCTGAGAAAGCTTGGCCCTGCCAACACCGTGACTTCAGGCCTCTGGCCTCCGTAACTGGGAGAAAATTAATTTCTGTTGTTTGAAGGCAGAGGTCTGTGGTGATTTGTTATGACAGCCCTAGGACACTAATAAAAGAGGCAAAGCTTACTTTTTACTTGGAACAAAAATGTTCATGTTCCTGATTTGCAAATAGTTACTGTTTATCTCGGGGAGGAGACTAATATGAGATGGGATGTCTTGTTTCCTGTGTGATGTTTAAAGCCCTGCAGAGCATGGCTACAGAGTCAGTGCTCTGTAGCACTTGCTTTGAAGAGGTGCATTTGTTCCAATGTGATGGATGCATCAGGGACTAATTTGAGTGTAAGGTGCATCTTGGGCTTGTTTTTGTGCAATTTCTGTACCCCATATAAGTGCAGAAAATGACGCCCTGGTGAAGGGCACTGTGGGAACGGCTGGCTCAGCACATGGTGCAGCGGCTCCTGATTTCAGGTTGCCCTTCGCACAGTGCTCACAACTCAGGGCTCCAATCCCCCTCCCTGCACGGCAAGGGCAGGTCTCTTTCAAGGTAAGGTGCCATATTTAGTGTAGGCATTATGGATTTCCTAACCGTATCACATATGTAAAGATGTAATTTTTATTATATTCATACCTTTTAATATATTCATACCATATATTCACTGACATGTTTGTGAGTGTGGTGTGTGCCACTACCTCCATTTTCCCCATAAGCCCCATGGTTTCCACTGCACAATTCTGCACAGTGCGGGCAGTTTCAGGAATGCACATGCCACATCATAGCAGAGCTGACTACTCCTTCAAGGCCAAGGCCCTCTCTAGTTCTACCCCAAAAGGGATCAGATTGATGTGATCTGACATACTGTCATTCTCCTCCATGATATCTACTCTCTGCTGCAACCAGGCTGGGCTCATCCTTTCTGTTGCAAACGAGGGCCTGCAAACAGATAGCCTGAAGGCAAAAACCAGTCACTGGATAACTTTTGCTTGACTTCCTAAAGATTATTTAAAAAAAAAAAAAACTGCTTGCCAATATCTAAAAATAGAGTATTTCCCATGAAAATCAGATTTTACAGTTTGCCTGACAACTTGGAAGCTCTGGCTGTCCTGGGCCCAAGCTCCCTCACGGCACTGCTGGCTGGATGTTACTGACCAGCTCTCTTGTCACCCCAATCCCTACCTTGCCCACCTCTTCTTCCACTGATACCCGGTCCTGTAAACACCTGAGTTTGTGATCCCGAGACAGGGATTTGCAGCTAGTGCCATGACCAGGACACCTGCTCTGTTGCTTCCCCACTGCATCAGCATGGAGCAGCTATGTGAGCTTCCCGAGCCGTTATACACCTGTAACAAAGGACTGCTGGGGGACTGAAACCGTAGGGTGTGAGCACGCTGCCCAGAATGACCAGGACCTTGATAACACCCCCCACTCCTCTCGGCTCCCACACACTTCTCTCTCACTTGGAAGTCTTATCCCTTCATCTTCTTAAATCTCTCCCACTGAGAAAATCAGGACTTCCTACTAATTCTTTGATTCATCTCTCAAGTACAAAGGTCTACTATGCCAGGTACTTTGCAGACTAGAGGCATCATGGAGATGGCTCATGCTCTCATAAAGCTTTCAGTTTAGTGGCAAAGACCAGCAAAAGACAACAATTTGAGCTGTTTTCTTGGGATTCATTGACAAACAACTGAATTTTATAATACATTCTATGAAGGAACAGATCAGGTTGGGGTGAGAGAGAGTAACACAGGCCACTACCCAAAGAGAAGTCAAGGAAGGCTTCTGTGATGACACAGCTTTTTTTTTTTTTTAAGAGATAAGTATTTAATAGCGATGTTGAGAAACTGCTACGTAGGAAAGGAAAAAAGTATTAAAATTTTGTTTTACAATTTCTCCTCTTGCCTTTAGTTACACAAATTTGATCAAAGCCATTTACATTGACAATTATTAAACATTTCATGGTATTCAAGTTACCATGTCATTAGTT